AGTGAAATTCGTCATAATTATTACCTGTGATTTCATCTCGTATAGGGTAGCATCATTTGGAGTTAACTGTAGCGCTTCATCCCACTTCTGAATTGATTGAATCTTATGTCCATCTGGTCAAAACCAAGCGTTCATATCCTAACCATGGTGGCTCAGAGGTATTTTGAACTTCCAGTAAATATGTCAAAATAGGCTGGGCACGTTGGCTCACGCCTGTAATCCCAGCACTTTGGGAGGCCGAGACTGGAAGATCATTTGAGGTCAGGAGTTCAAGACCAGTCTGACCAACATGGTGACACCCGTCCCTACAAAAAATACAAAAACATTAGCCAGGCATGGTGGTGCATGCCTATAGTACCAGTTACTCAGGAGGCTGAGGCAGGAGAATAGCTTGAACCCAGGAGGTAGAGGTTGCCATGAGATGAGACTGCACCACTGCACTCTACCCTGGGTGACATCAAGACTCCATCTCAAAAAATAAATGTCAAAATATACTTAGAATTGCTGCATTATAATAATCTGACTTCCTCACCAGGATTATCTCTCCTAAACCAAGTTGAGCACGTCCCAAAGTTTGCCAAGACTCCCATGAATGTGGATTTCGCTGGACAGCCATTTCTGCTGCATGTACTGCTGGGAACATTTCATGAAGAGACATTAGCACCTATAGGCAAAAAAAGACCAAAAAATCTGTCAGTAATATTCATAAACTAGCAACTACATTAAAAACCCTTTTCATTTTTTAAGATATATTTTTAGTCCAGTAAAAATAGCATTTTGGTGATTCTCACCCCTTACTCTGCCATTCAGGGTAAGAAATTATAGTTCTCTTTTCACCCCTGATATAACTATGAAAATATAAACCATTCTCTTTCCAGTTATTGAATCTTATGTCCATCTGGTCAAAACCAAGCGTTCATATCCTAACCATGGTGGCTCAGAGGTATTTTGAACTTCCAGTTCCACTTCTATTTATTCTATTTACAATGTGGTTTTCAGGCAAACCCAGGTACTGCCATTAAACTAGGGGAATAAATTTGTTCAACCAGCCATCCTATCCCTAATGAACATCTTTCTGTTATAAAAATTATTTTAAACATTGCCTAGGCCTTCTCACTACTGGGCTTTTAAAATCATATATACCAGAAAGTTAGGGTTAGGGTTAGGGAGAGTTAGGGTGACCAGAGAGTTCTAGCTCCACTGTGGTCTGTGGGAAAGGGCTGGATTTTATCTATAATCTTTAGGACCATTAACACTTTAAAAGATTTGTGACAGGAACATTATTATCAGATTCCAAATTAAACAAGTCTTCATAAAGTTTGCCACAAACCTGTCATTCATATATACATATTTAAGATTGAAAATTAAAGGCATCCAAATGAAGGTCTTCATATCACTGGATTCGGATGACATAATTTATTTGAGTTTTTTCTGGATAAACTAAAGTCAAAGGTGACAAATGGTGTGTCCTATATTTGAGATCATCATTTGAAAAATATTTGTTAGGTGTGCAGATTAAGGCTGAATTGCAACAATTCCCTGCCAAAAATATGTTTAATGCTCTGTGTGAGACTTTTAAAATCACTTGGATAACCTATTCAAGTGCTCAGAGGTTTTCTTTACAGACTTTCCTACAAAATATTAGAAACATATTTTTAAAGTAAAATGTTATTTTTAAACTATTAATAAAATTGCATCTATGCTGACCTTTTGCTAAGAACTAAGCCATTAGAAATATCTCATCTAGAACCCAATCCATCTTCATTTTTAAGAAAACTGAACTATTTTGCTAAGTCTACTACATTTAATTCACAAGGAAAGCATATGTTTTTCATCTAAGAGATCGCCAGTGACTTTTTGTTTTTTATTTATTTATCTTTTTTTGAGATGGAGTCTCACTGTGTCACCCAAGATGGAGTGCAATGGCACCATCTCAGCTCACTGCAACCTCCGCCTCCCACATTCAAGTGATCCTCCTGCCTCAGCCTCTGAAGTAGCTGGGACTACAGGCGTGTGTCACCACTCCCAGCTAATATTTGTATTTTTAGTAGAGGCAAGGTTTCACCATGTTGGCCAGGGTGGTCTCGAACTAGTGACCTCAAGTGATCCACCCACCTCAGCCTCTCAAATTGCTGGGATTACAGACATGAGCCATGGCACCTGCCCACCAGTGACTTTAGAAGATAGCCATCTATTCCTATCTTACAATAGTTAGGCTAAAATAACAGTTAACTTCATTGCGAAGGCAAATGAACTTCCAATTTTATGCATGACAGAGCCATAAATAATGGTGAAATATTTTTTCCCAAAGAAATTGTATTTGAAGCCGGGCGCGGTGGCTCAAGCCTGTAATCCCAGCACTTTGGGAGGCCGAGGCGGGTGGATCACGAGGTCAGGAGATCGAGACCATCCTGACTAACATGGTGAAACCCCGTATCTACTAAAAATACAAAAAACTAGCCGGGCGAGGTGGCGGGCGCCTGTAGTCCCAGCTACTCAGAGGCTGAGGCGGGAGAATGGCGTGAACCCGGGAGGCGGAGCTTGCAGTGAGCCGAGATCGCGCCACCGCACTCCAGCCTGGGCGACACAGTGAGACTCCGTCTCAAAAAAATAAAATAAAATAAAATAAAAAAGGAATTGTATTTGAAAAAGAAAATGGGAGAAAATGCTATTTTGCTTCATCATTGCTCACTCACCAAACAAACATAGCACAATTTCATAAGGAAAGTGAAATTCGTCATAATTATTACCTGTGATTTCATCTCGTATAGGGTAGCATCATTTGGAGTTAACTGTAGTGCTTCATCCCACTTCTGAATTGCTTCCCGATATCTGTGGTTGTTAAAGTTATACGAATGCCATATTTTCAATATGTCTTTTTTTAGACTTTCAAAATAATTTTTTATTGTGGTAAAATATAAAATTTACCATCTTAACCATTTAAGTGTACAGTTTAGAGGCATTAAGTAGCATTAAGTACATATAGTTCACTCACCTTTTTGTGCAACCACCACCACCATTCATCTCCAGAACTTTTTCATCTTCCCAAACTGAAACTCCATACCCATTAAACAATAACTGCTCATTGCCCCCTCCGCACCCCCAGGCAAACACCATTCTACTCTTAGACTACTTTCAGGAGGAGTAGTCATGTACTTTCAACAGTTTTTTGGACTACTTTCTAGTCCATGAAATACATGTAAAAATTCAAAATAAAGGATTAGCAAATTAAGTCCAGCAACTTATTCAAGTACAAAATCCACATGATCATATAGTGTATGCTCAGAAAAACTTAGAAATGGGCTCATATGTAACAGATAAGGGAGAAAAAAAGTACATGCCACTAAACAATACTTAGTATAATTTAACAACCATTTCTGATTATTTATAATAATAAAAGTATATACAACATTAAAGAAATTCAGTACCGTGGTGCCATTATCTACTAAGCTTTAATGATACAACCTCTAAAAGTAGTAACTATATCACCTAAAAAGAAAGTGCTTGTGCTTTTTTAGGCATATTGTGGTGATTTCAAGCCTCTCTAAACAATATTTCCAAATGTTATTATAAATGCAACAGGTAAAACTTTGGAAATTAATTTATCGATGTATTCCTTCATAACAATCCTTCCACTCACAATTTTCTAATAAAGATAGCAGTAATAAATTCTGCAAGACTTAATAGTAGCAAATGTCTTTCCTCCAGCATTAGGAGGAAAAGGTTGGATTGTTTGTCCAATCTTTTTTCTACCACTCCCTACGCATAACTGTGCTCCACTCGGCAGAGTTTTTATAGTCCCTACGCACATATCGTGCCTTTGTTAGTATGGATCCCCTGCTACACATACACACATACATCTGTATTAGTCCATTCTCACGCTGCAATAAAGAACTGCCCAAGACTAGGAAATTTATAAAGGAAAGAGGTTTAATTGACGCGTACCGCAGGGCTGGGGAGGCCTCAGGAAACTTACAGTCATGGCAGAAGGGGAAGCAAACACATCCTTCTTCACATGGAGGCAGGAGAGAGAAATGAGTGCTGAGCAAACAGGGAAGCCCCTTATAAAACTATAGATCTCGTGAGAACTCAGTGTCATGAGAATAGCATGGCAGAAACCGCTCCCATAATTCAATTATCTCCACCCGGTCCCATCCTTGACACATGGGGTTATTACAATTAAAGGTGAGATTTGGGTGGGGACACAGAGCCAAACCATATCACGTATCTAAGATTGCCTTCCTACTCCTCTTCATCTATGCAAGGGCTCCTCCTCTAAGACCAAGTTAAAATGTTCCATTCTTCATGAAGACCTCCTCCAGTGGATCTAGCCCACTAACGATGAGTACCACTTCAGACCACATAGCAATACTTGTATTTCCAAAGCATTTTATGTTTTACAAAGCACTTTCAATACAATTATTTAACATACAATTATTTTCCCAAAAAGTTAATTCACTCTAAGTAAGTGAATATAAATTTGGTATTATTTGCTTTTTAAAAAATTATTTTGAGAGATATAGTCTTGCTCCGTTGCACTGGCATGATCACAGCTCATTGCAGCCTTGAACTCTTGGGCTCAAGGGCCTCCCACCTCAGCCTCGCGAGTAGCTAGGATTACAGGCACATGCCACTATCCCCAGCTAATTTTTTTATTTTTTTTATTTTTGTAGAGACAGGGTCTCACTATGTTGCCCAGGCTGGTCTCAAACTCCTGGCCTCAAGCAATTCTCCTGTCTTGGCCTCCAGAAGTGCTGAGATTATAGGGGTGAACTACCATGCCTGGCCTCAAGTTTGGCATTACTTGTTCTCACTTTATTGATGAGGAACCAATGGTTGAGAGCAGCTAAAGGACTATCCAAGTCCTACAAAAGATAGGATTTAAAGCTAGCTCTTAAAAATACAAGACCAATACTTTCTGTAACTATATCAGGTATGCCTCCCATTTAGTTCTGCTCTAATTCCTCCTTGTATTTTTGTCTTCTCTTCTCTAATGAGTTCAGGAACCAAAGGGTAGATTTGCTTATATGCTCTACAGTACCCAGAACATTTCTGGGAATGTAGAAGGTAATAATATAACAGGTTTTTTTTTTTTTTTTTTTTTTTTTTGAGACAGGGTCTTGTTCTTGTTGCCCAGGCTGGAGTGCAATGGCATGATCTTGGCTCACTGCAACCTCCGCCTCCCGGGTTCAAGTGATTCTCCTGCCTCAGTCCCCCGAGTGGCTGGGACTACAGGCACACGCCACCACACCCGGCTAATTTTTGTATTTTCATAGAGATGGGGTTTCGCCATGTTGACCAGGCTGGTCTCAAACTCTTTACCTCAACTGATCTGCCTGTCTCGGCCTCCCAAAGTGCTGGGATTACAGGCATGAGCCACTGTGCCCAGCCTAATATAACAGATTCTATCTGCCTCATTTGTCCTACCTTCTCCAACTCCTGAAGGCAGCAGAGAGAAGCATATAAAGCATGAAAAGAGGGGACAGATGTAGCATGCTCTTAACAGGAAAAAAAAAATGGTAATAAAAACAAATTTTATCCTAAGACAAAAGTGGTAAAAATGTTAATTCTTACTTTGTTCCATTCATTATTTCAAGTATAGAAATTATAAGAAATCCCAAGACTAGGGGAATGTGAATGTGGGTAGAAAAAAACAAAAACATTAGAATTCTAGGTTTAGCAGAGGGACCTTATGACCTTGGATGTTTGAGGTTTCAGGAGTCTTTGATAGCTTGTGAGGAAGAAGCTGAAGGTCTTTGGTCTCTAGAGTTAAGGGTGACATAGTAAAGGTCCATATAGTAAATATTTTAGGCTTTGTGAACCATACAGTCTATCACAACTATTCAACTCTATTACTGTATCCCAAAATCAGCCATAAACAATGCATTCAAAAAATGGGCATTGCTGTGTCCCAATAAAACTTTATTTATAAAAAGAGGCTGTTTTCATAAATAAAGTTTGCCAACCCTAGATCTACTTGTCCCAACCACTGTTAAAAGCTTATCATATTTGTCAAATTTACTTTTTACTTCCAGTCCTATTTTCTGCCCAACTCAACCAGAGGAAGTTATCGCCCCACAGAAGGCATTTGTGGTCATTACTGTGACTTGGAGGCACTAGTGGCAGAGGGTTAGGGATGTTAATAGTCTTCAAGGCAAAGAGCAAGCCTGCACAATAAAGATCTATCTTGCCCAAAATACCACTAGCACTACTGCCGAGAACAGGATGGCTTATCCCATCCCCAACCCCACAAAGCTGCTTATGTTCCCAAGCTTAAGTTGTCTAAGGTACAAAATAAACTAAGAGGTTCAAGGTGACGATGACCATCACTAGTTTTTTCTTTTTATTAAGCAGGTATGCATGTGTGCATATACATATACATACAAACACACATACACACACATACATGTAAACACAGGCTCACAGATTTGAGAAAAAAGAAAAATGTCCTGTCTTCTCGACTGCACTGCCTTTTATTTTGAAAACATAACCACTGCTGCCAGCAGAGGCATCACTCAATGAAATGTGCTTTGTTGCCAAGGAGGCCTATAAAGGTTTAAAGGAACAAGTGAGCTGTTTTCCACACTAAACAAAGCAAGAAATGGTGGACATTTACTTCACTATCATCAACTTACTCAATTATTCCCCCTTCTCATCTCTCTTTGGTTTACTTCTCTTGGCCTGCAAACAAAGGGTGGCGCCACTTAGTTCCTCCATTTTTAGATCACAGGAAACTTGGCACTGAACAAATCAATAGTCTCTGGTAACTTCTGCAGCATATCTCTTAATTCAACTTCAGTTTGGAACAGACACAGCCCTACTGCAGCTGTTGGATAGGAAGCATTAAATGATAAAAACTTGGTTTAAAGTCACTGTGGTTAATAAATGACCAAAGTCTGATTCTGCCAGTTTAAGGACAATCTTAACAGTATGCAACTGAACTAGCACAAGGAAGGAAGCAAAGGGAATAGTTCCATGGACTACAATAGGGCAGGATGAGATAATGCCCTACACTGAGGTAAAGAACAGCTGGTGATCAAGCTAAATATGTTAGATAGCACACTCATTTACCAGATAGAAATGTCAACGTGTTTAGCTACTTTACTCCCAATTAGGTTTCTAATTTACTGTGGCTTTAAATTTAATGAGCTATATAGTTAACAGCTTATTCACTTTATAAATATTTACTGGGCACCTACTCTGGCACAGGTAGAATTCTAGTAATAAGTACTAAGTATGCAGCACCCAACAAGATATAATAGGTCCCTACTATTCTTCTAGATTTTACTTTCTAAAGTGTATGCATGTTAGAAGGGGAAAGAGAAAGAAAGACAACAAACTAAGTTAAAATATAAGTGCCATGATAAAAGACAAATGGAGGAATGTGATAGGGAGTGACCTAGTGGCTACTCGGAATGGGCGGTCAAGAAAGGTCTTCCTAGGAACGCATTGAAGCTGAGACCTGAGTGACAAAACGGGGTCAGACAACTGAAAATCTGGAGAAAGTCCATTCCAGGCAAAGGGAAGAACCTGGGGAAGGACCAAACCATGGTTTTGTGGAGAGGAAATAAAACCAGAGGAAGGGAAGTCAGAGTTCAGGGAGGTGGGCCGAAGCCATGATCACAGAGAATACAATAAGCCATAGTTATGCATGTGGATTTAACTGTATGTGTGATGAAGAATCCACAGAGTTTTTATACAACAGTGAGACATGAATTATTGATTTACATTTTTAAAAGATCAGTCAGACCCAGGGGAGAGGAACAGACAGTAAGGGTACAAAAATGTACACAGGGAGGCTAGATATGATACAACCAAAGTAATTTAGGTAT